GCCCATCCCCCAGCCCCCCCTCATACCCCACTCCGTTCACCCATTCTGGGAGGTGGTGAATGGTACCATCCTGGTGCCAAGGGAGAATGTCAGGACCCACCGCCTAGGAAGGGCGTGCAATCCCCATCCCCCATCCTCCTTTGCCCGTCCTGGAAGAGTGGTAAGAGGCTAGTACTATTCACCACTTGCCAGCAGGAAAGGCCATCAGGACCCACCGACTGGGAAGGGCGTGGAATCCCCCCATCAACCCCTCCCTCCCCAACCTTGTCTCCATCCCACCCTCCTTCATTCTGGGAGGTGTGAATATTACCATCCCACTAAACGGAAGTTATCAAGACCCACAGCTCGTGGGGCGTGGAATCCCCCATCCCAACCACCCCATCCCACCCCATCACCATCCTGGGAGGTGGAGAATAGTACCATCCGTCATCCACCATCCTGGGAGGTGGTGGTGTACTGCATCCTGGTGCCAACAGGAAGGTATCAGGACCCACAAACTGGGAAGAACGTGAACCACCATCCCCATCCCCCCACCCCATCCACACACCCATCACAGGAGGTGGAGAATGGTACCATCCACCGGTTATGACGGAAGGTATCAGGACCACACAAACTGGGGCGGAATCCACCATCCCTACCATCCCCACCCCATCCACCATCTGGGGTGGAGAATGGTACCATCCACCAATTGCCCCATCCACCAGTTGCCAGTATCAGGACCCACCGACTAGAAGGGCGCAATCCCCATCCCCATCCTCGCCCATCCTGGAAGGTGGTGAATGGTACTATCCACCACTTGCCAACGGAAGGTATCAGGACCCACTGACTGGGAAGGGCGTGAATCCCCATCCCAACCCCCCATCCCCAACCCAACCATCCTCCATCCCACCCTGCCCATTCTGGGAGGTGGTGAATGGTACCATCCACTAGGTGCAAACGGAAGTATCAAGACCCACAGGCTAGGTAGGGCGTGAATCCCCCATCCCAACCACCCCATCCCCACCCCATCCACACCCATCCTGGGAGGTGGAGAATGGTACCATCCGTCATCCACCATCCTGGAGGTGGTGAATTGTACCATCCACCACCAAGCAACGGAAGGTATCAGACCCACTGACTGAAGGGCGTGGAACCACCCCCCCCATCCCCATCCCACCCCATCCACACCCATCCTAGGTGGAGAATGGTACCATCCACCAGTCCCAACGGAAGGTATCAGGACCCACCGACTGGAAGGGCGTAATCCACCCCCCATCCCCTACCCCCCATCCCACCCCATCCACACCCATCCTGGGAGGTGGAGAATGGTACCATCCATCAATTGCCAACGGAAGGTTATCAGTACCACCGAATGGGAAGGGCGGAATCCCCCGTCCCCCAACCCCCCCCGTTTCATCCCATCCACACCATTCTGGGTGGTGGATATCGTACCATCCGTCGGGCGCCGACGGAAAGTATCAGACCTACTGGGAAGGGCGTGGAATCCCCATCCGCCATCCACACCCATCCTAGGTGGTGGAGAATGGTACCATCCACCAATTGCCAACGGAAGGTATCAGACCCACCGATTGGGAAGGGCGGAACTCCCCATCCCCCATCCACACCCATCCTGGGTGGTGGAGAATGGTACCATCCACCAGCTGCCAACGGAAGGTATGACGACCACCGACTGGGAAGGGCGGAATCCTCCCCACATCCCCCAACACCCCAACCCTCTCATCCCCCACCCCCATCCCCCACCCCATCCACACCCATCCTGGGAGGTGGATAATGGTACCATCCGTCAGGCGCCGACGGAAGGTATCAGGACCCACTGACTGGGAAGGGCGTGGAATCTCCCCATCCTCCACCCCCCCATCCCCCACCCCCATCCTCGCCCATCCTGGGAGATGGTGAATGGTACCATCCACCAATTGCCAACGGAAGGTATCAGGACCCACCGACTGGGAAGGGCGTGGAATCCCCCGTCCCACCCCCCCCGTTCCCCATCCCATCCACACCCATCCTGGGTGGTGGAGAAAGGTACCATCCACCAATTGCCAACGGAAGGTATCAGGACCACCGACTGGGAAGGGCGTGGAATCCCCCATCCCCATCCACACCCATCCTGGGAGGTGCAGAATGGTACCATCCGTCGGGCGCCGACGGAAGGTATCAGGCCCACTGACTGGGAAGGGCGTGGAACTCCCCATCCCCATCCACACCCATCCTGGGTGGTGGAGAATGGTACCATCCACCAATTGCCAACGGAAGGTATCAGGACCACCGATTGGGAAGGGCGTGGAATCCCCCATCCCCCAT